GATAGACTGACAATTTTGGAGCCACAGCCATCCTAAAAACGATATAGAAGAGCCTTTATCTCTAAGCCTTGCTCTGTTGAAGAGTTTGCAATGTCTCTGGGTCTCTAGTGCCTAGCTGGGGAGAAACAGAATCAAGTTTTTTCTCCTATTTGACCTCACCTGTGTGACAGACTTCCCAAAGAACTGCTTCCTGATCTATTCTATGATGATTACTGCAAAGCGACAATGAAAAATGTTCGTAAATATAAATGATAAACCATAGATTCTAGCTATATTTGCTGCATTAAATGCTTATACTGATTTGCCATGGTTGCTATTTTTCTTTTTACATGCTAATGTTAATAAGGGCATTGTTATTTATTGATGTATAATTAAAGCTAAACTCCAGGCAAACCGCTAAAAACACAGATAAATACATGTAAAGGAGCTGTTTTACCTGTCAAAGGATTTTTATTGCTGTCCATCCAGTTTTGAGATTTACACAGATCTGCCACAGTGCAGTAACTTTAAAGGTCTGCTCCCTAACACCACCATGTGACTGCATAGTGAAAGGAGATGCAGCAGACCAATAGCTCATTTCTGCTCTCTCCTATTATCCGTATGCACTTTATAAATGGTCCTGGGCCTGGTGGACCCCATGAAACAGCGGGTTTAGTGCAGCTCCATATGGTTATAGGAGCCCTAATGACAGCTATAGTTTAACAGGACAGTGATGCTCCATCAAGGGCAGGATTCATTTAAAAAAAAATCTTTCTGGGTATGTTTTGAAATAGTACTGTTTTGGATATGGTATATCATTACCGCCACTTCCATTATTAGCTTGTCAAATGGTAAATAATTCATATCGAGTGTAATGTTATATTTTTGGCCTAAACGTAGCTTACTATCTGGTGTATATTAGTGAAGATGACCTTACATGACCTCACATCACTGATCAACAGCCACATGGTGGCTTCCAGAAAGCACATTCCCTGCCCGGTGCCAGGATTGGGTAGGCTATAACTCACGTAGCAGAGGAACATGTGACCGATACAGTGAGATACGGCTGTGCCATAACTTTTCCACATTCACAACCAATAAAAACAAAACTACAATAGACAGTTTAACACTTTATTTTATAAATCTTATATTACATCATCTTGTATTTGCAAAATAAACCTGGCAATAAAACACAGACACAACTTTGATTTTGTTCTTTTTGAGTTCTGTTTGTTTCATGGAGATTTAGGATAGGACAAGGTGTTTCTGCAATGCCAACACTGGGCATTATACTCTCCACTGAAAGAAAACAGGCTTTTGACTATAAGTTGTTGGTAGTTACCTAGTGGCAGCTATGAGCTGGGGAAAATGGACTCAGTGGTGCTGGAGTGAAGATGTTATGTTGTGGGGAACATCTAGAAGAGGTAATTGTGCCTAACCAATAGCAATGCCCTCCCTTATATGTGATGATGCCCAGGCACCCCTGTGACTACAGCCTCATAGCTGTATAACCTCAGTGTGAGATATAAGGCACTGCTGCTTCAGGAGATTTAGAGTTAGATTTAGGGAGGGCACTACAGTACTGTGCTGTCTCCGGGAGGCTCAGGCATGAAGAAACAAAGTCCTGCCTCTACCAAGATGGCCACCTTCACACAGAGACACGGTGCAGAACAAGACATGATTAGGCAGTAATGTGGTAGATATCATCTGGAGGGAGGCCACAGACAATACTGGTAACTAGTCCTTTGCTCTCTGGCTGCCTTTTTGGGGGCAATGTTTCCAGAATTCAGTTCTTTAATGTGAATATAGGGTGTGTGTGTGTATTTGTATGCACTCAAAGATCAGAAGCTTGGGCATTATTGAATTTAATGCTATCCCAAAATAAATTTATATAGCTATCCCAGAAAAGTCACAAATTATACCGTTAACTATGTGCACGGCAAAACAAATGTCACTACTCTGCTTCTGGGCATCAGCTGTCCATTCATAAAGACTATATATAAGTTCAAAAATCTTACATAGAAACTAGATTGCATTAAAAAAACAACACTTGTTTTGCACATACATTCGAGTGCAAAGCACCCACTCTTTTGAAGGCTTAATGGTTGATTTATAAATATTGGTTGGAATTCCAATCTTTCTGATCCTTATCCCATTGAAATTAAGTCATTTTCATACATTGACACCTTTTTTTAATATGTTAAATAAAAATGTGGAATCACTCCTATAGGAGATTAATGTTTGTATATTCTCCTTAAAATATATGGATTAAATAATTTTTACACATTCATTTCAATATGTTGCTAATACCAGGAGAAAATTTTCTAAATATTTTCTGCCTGATAGTCTTGCTACCTGTAGAGCCCATTAGGTTCTGGGCAGAGATCTGTTACTTCCTTTCATAGATGACCAGTTGGCACTAGACAGGGAGTGACCAGGTTTGGTCAGGTTTAAGTCGCATTTATCAGCGGTTCCAAGGCTTGTTCTATCTATAAAGCCATGTGAGACTTTCATCTAATAAAGCAAATTTCAAATGTAGCATAAAGCAGGCTGAAACGGTGAGTTACATGTATGCTGGTGTTCCTATCTTCTGTTGTTAGTAAAGTAATGGAAAAAATGAAAGTGCCACACTGATGAATTCATTCCAGTATGGGTTCTTTATTTGATGCAACGTACAGGTAAAAAGCCAATGAATTTCTGGGGCTCGCAGATCTCCCTTTATCAGAGCTTGTACGCTGGCAGTGATGTGCAATAATACTGGACAGGTAATTATGAGGAATGAAGAATATGTAATCCCTGTATGGGTTGAGGGTCAGAGAGGCTGTCTGACAGGCAACTCACTAGCGTTGGCTTTTTACTAGGGCTGGTAATGATTAAAATTTTCCTGTTCGATTAATCAATTTTTTCTTAATCGATTAATCGATTAATTGCAATTAATTATAATGCACATACAGATCCAACTTCATTGGCCTATACACATACAGCACAGCAATGAAGTAATAAAATGAACTAGGATCACACTAATCCAGCACGTTATTAATCTCACGTGCCCCACTCAATATGGCCGCCGCTTAAGTGGGGCAACTCAGAATAATAACGTGCTGGATTAGTGTGATCCTAGTTCATTTTATTACTTCATTGCTGTGCTGTATGTGTATAAGCCAATGCCAGGGATCCCAACCTGAAATAAGCAATTTCAGGGAGGTGTCCCAATCATTTCAGGGAGGTGCCGTCTCCCCCCCCATCCGCGGAGGGGGGGTTAGGGGGGGCTGGGAGAGAGCACCTCCC